AAGTCTGCTCCTGGTAAAGGTCTTTATTTTTCAAGATATGATTATCTTCGTGTAGAAGCCTATACAGATGCTGACTGGGTTGGATCAGTGACTGATAGGAGATCGACTTTAGGGTATTGCACATTTGTTGGAGGCAACTAAGTTACTTGGAGGAGTAAGAAACAGAATGTGGTTGCCAAGTCGAGTGCAGAAGCTGAGTTTAGAGCTATGACACAAGGGGTGTGCGAGCTCTTATGGATCAGGTTATTGTTGAGTGATCTAAGTATTGATCAGACGGACTCCATGCGGTTGTACTGTGATAAGAAGGCCGCTGTCAACATTGCTCACAATCTGGTTCAACACAACAGGACAAAACATGTTGAGATTGATCGCCGCTTCATTAAGGAGAAACTCACTAGTGGCACAATATGTACTCCCTTTGTGCAGTCTGGTGAACAACTTGCTGACATTCTCACCAAAGGAGTTAGGAGTAAGCCATTTCATGACATCTTAGGCAAGCTGGGCGTGAGAGATATCTTCGCACCAGCTTGAGGGGGAGTGTTAGAATAATATATGATTATTTGGGTTATTAGTTTGTAATTATTTTATGCCTTAGGGTTTCCTTGTAATTATTATCTTCATTAATATAAATAGGGAATGATATCCTAATCATTCCCTAATCTAATATTCTCTAAAATTTACAGTTAGGACTTGCAGATCTGACACTTTTTGTCATGGTTGTTAACCTTTTTGATGATATGATATGATATGATCAAACCTAATCATAGCCAGCTTATTAAACCCTTTATCTTGAAGCTTGATCTTGTGCCTTTCTATGTTTTTTTGGTCAAAAGGCAATTGGTCTAAGTTTGTCAAGAAATTGGATCCTAAAGTTCCACCTTGAGGTCCTCTTTGTATTCTTGAAGTGGTTAAATGATTTACTTCCAGTATTATGGGTAGTATTATGGGTTGTTTGGTGCAACTTATATGAATTGCTTTTATATATATATATATATATTTAAAAAAAATTATTTTGAGAGTATGTTTGATGTGACACCCTATTAGGCAAAGTAGAATAAAGGCTTAGAATAGAATAGAATCAACCCGAGGAAATATATCCATGTAGCTGACCCCAACTAATTGGAATAAATGGCTTTTTTAGTTGAGTTGTATGTAATGTAATCTAAAATTGTACATTTCATTCAACCCAAGGAAAAGATTACAAGATGCCTATGACACTTGGACAACAACATTTCCCTAAACTGAACCAATCAAGAGCAGAAAGAATTGGTCATGTTAATAGTGATGGAAACCACATGTAGTTTCTCCCTTCCACACCATCATCAAACATTTTTTTCCCTCTCTTTTTTGAGTTGCCGAAAGTCTTGATTGATAATGGAGTTGTTTTACACATTATCTTCCATTTGACATCCAACTTGATAGCCAGCTCATCCACATGAAAGAGGTGAAAACATCTGTTGGTCAACCACCCAATGAATCCCATAAGATCATCCCTGTTGTCAGTGCCCCAGCAAAAATAGATGAAAGTATGGAAGGTAAGAAATAGAGGCAAAAATTGTATGATTTTTCTTTGTCCTCTGGTTAACCACCCAATTGATTTTTCTTTGATATGATGTGTCTTTCCTTCAAGTGTTCTGGAATTATTGCTATCTTGGAGGGTACCTAGAGTTGGCAGGAGAAGGAGGAGGGCTTGTTGTTTGGGCCCTTTGGCATTGACATGGAGCATTTGGAGGCAGCGCAATAGGAAACTTTTGACGGAGTAGCACTCCTATCTTTTGTTTTGAAGAGTAGAATTTTGACCCCACTTGTTTGGGACACAAGGCCTAGTTTGGTTTGGTTTTGTAGAATTTTGACCATTTTTTTATAGTTGGCTCTCGGGTGGTGCTGATCCATCCTTGAACCAAATTTTGGATTTTGTAAATCATTTTGAGTAGATTGATGTATAGGTGTTTTGGCTTTTGCTCTTTTGCATTGTATACAAGCAACACCCCCTTAATTCTTCTTTGATGATATAATACATATAAAAATAAAAATAAAATAAAATAAAGTATGCAGAATAATTATAAATTCTACTAAAACATTTATAAGAACAGAGAAGAAAATTGATAATTCAGACAACATTGCAATACTAGTGACCAGTATATCTAAGCTATAATATGGTAATGTACAACTAACATCCATTCCTTGTTGATTTTCACATCACACTCAAATCATCCTCTTTACTTACAAAATTACAATGCATAAACTATTCAAGAGAACTATAGTATATAACATTAAATTGTCACAAAAAATAAAGAAACAGTATCTGAAATCAACCAGATTTGAGTACTCCATGGCTGCTAGAATGACACATTGAGACTTGTCCATGTATGGAAAGCAAAGATGACTAGAGTTTGCACAAAAGGGAAAAGTTCAGTTAATTGAAGTCCTCTACCTTAATATAAATGAAGTCAATTCTTCTGTAGAGCTTGTAAGTTGTAGGCATTTATTGCATAAATGTGTACCTAATGCCTATGAATTTGTTGTAACAGAGAATCAAAATATGAAATTCCAAGTGATATGAACAGTTTTTCAATGATACCAATATTCATTCATTTTCCTTTTGTTCTATTGATTTTCTGTTTTTTTTTTGTTGTTAACATTTTTGTATCATATTTGATGATGTCCTTGTTAAGGATTTACCTTTTGTTTCTTCCTGATTTTATAGTTCGTGTATATTTGAAGTTGTTGATACCTTACAAACTTTTTGGCTAGTCTGAATCGATTTCTTACTAAAATGTAACACGTCACAAGAAGAAGCATTTAGCTTTTTGTGGACTTTATCAGCACAAGCCAGAGAAAATGTGCTCTGGCAAACCTTCGTAGAATATTCTCCAATTTAACCTAGACATATCCCTTTTTACATCCATGAGCTGCAATAATATAATTTATCATTTTCAGCTAAATGGACATCTAATTTATCAAGGAGGTTGCTTTCCTTTTTTCGTTTTTCTTTTTTTTTCTCTCTTCTTTATTTATTTATTTATTTAATTCTGATGATAAGAATGATAAATTGACTTTTGAACTTCAAAAATCCAATCTTGCAGCTCATTCTGATACAACCGTGGCAAGGATACTGGTGGGAAACAAATGTGATTTGGAGAATATCAGAACTGTGAGTGTCGAGGAAGGCAAGAGCCTTGCAGAAGCAGAAGGGTTGTTCTTCATGGAGACATCAGCCCTGGATTCGACGAACGTTATAACGGCTTTTGAGATGGTTATTCGAGAGATCTACAACAAAGTCAGCAGATAAGGTCGTTGAATATTCTGAATCTTACAAAGCAGAGTTATCAGTCAACAGGGTGAGCCTCGTTGGTAATGGTATTGAAGGATCTAAACAAAACCCAAGCCACTATTCTTGCTGTTCAAGGTGATTATTTTTGTCAGTTATTTCTCAAATATATGTACAAGTTGAGGTATTGTTGGTCGTTGATTTGTTAATTCTATTTGGTTGTTTTGTTTCTTTATTCAGTTTTTGATAGATTTTGTCGTATAATTAACAATAAGATTTGGTATTGTGTGTTTTGATATTTGAAATGAAGCTGTTTATTGGCATTGATTCATGAAAATTGGATGAAATCAAAATCTTAATTCCGCACACAACATTTTTTCCTTTAATGGGTCTATAACTGGTCCAAATTATTATGCTTTTATGTATAGTATATCCTTAAATGGGTCTATTACTGGTCAAAATTACTAATAATTCTTGAGATGTTAAAATTTTTACTAAAAATACAAATTGCTCCCACATTATTATGCTTTTATGTATAGTAGATTTAGTCTGGTATATTTCGCTAAGTTTGTTTATATTTTTGGTATGCTAATTTTTTTTTTTTTTTTTCTCCATCCTATTGCAAAATTTTTCATGAAATGTGATATTATTTTTGCTTGATTCTCACTGAAATAATCATTCTAATTTCAAACTTGTGATAAAGGAAAGTACATTGACGGGTATTATTGCACAATTTTAGGATTGATATCGTGTTTTCAAAATACATTTACAAATTTTTTCACGATTAATCAGTTTAAGCTGTGTTTTGAAAACACAATTTCAACAAATCGAAACATAATTTCAACAAATCGAAACATAAATAGACGATTTACTAAAATAACTTAAATTTAAAAAAATAAGTTTCAAATTATTGTGACTTGAAAATTTTGAATTACCTTCAATTGGTTAAAAACTCTATCTAGAGGAACCCAAGAGAGAGAGGCATAATTGATTTTAGGTTATAGACAGTAGATAATTGTGAGGTGATGATGTGACCACGTAAAACAAACTAGTCGTAATCCGATGGTCACAGAAGATCCTTCTCACTCATTTCCTCCAATCAAAATCAAATCAATCTTTTGCCATTCTTCAAACCATTCAATAATGTTGTGTTTGGCTGGGGAATTTGAGGAGAGATTTGGAAAGGGAAATGAAAAAGGTAAATAAAATGTAAACAAAATATACCTATATTTCACCTAGTTTTACATATCTTTTCCCTTTCCCTTTTTCTTTTTAAATTCCTCCCTAAATCTCCCAACCAAACACAGTATAAGTATTTTGAGTGGTTGTGGTTCACAGCCAGCAGCAATTACATCACATTATGTAGGTGGAGGGTCACCACCCCTATCTGTATGTGTGTTTGGCTTTCGACATGATTGTGGAGATCTTATTCAGTGGTTCTAGAACATCGTACCTATACTGAATATTGTGATTGGTCCAAAAAAAGTATAATTTATAATTTTGTATTAAGATGTGAATAATAGAAAATTTGATGTTTAATGATTAATGTGTGGTAAGAGTCCCCTCAACATCTAATAATTTTTCAATTGAGTGAGAAATCAACTCACAACTCAAAACCTAACCCCCATACCACCCACCCATCTCCCTATCGTAATTGAATTTGATCCCAATCTTTCGTTATATTTTTTGTGAACCATTTTGTGATAACATTACAATGAAAATAATAGTATCAAACAATTCAAATGACATAAAAAAATAATAATAATCAACTTTGAACAAGGAAGGAAGGACATCACTAAATGACGGAAAAATTACAACAAAATAAGAAAAAGATAAAGGAAAAGAGAGCAATTTTAAAAGAAAGATCAGGCAAGATTAGCCGATCAATCATGACTTGAGTAGAAAACACACATTAGCTGCTACTGCTGCAGCTGTAATTTTGAAGCTTCTAGAAGCTTTTGATTCTGGCCATTGACTACGAAATCTTTCTTTTTCCAGCTCATACTTGATTGCTCTGTATTGGACGAAGATGGTGATCGACAGCGATAGATAAATAGATAAATATGGTATGCCCTTTTTTTTTCGTGTGCTAAAATGTTTTTTGGCTTTTAACCCATTGATTGAGACCTCCATTGTTTAGCATTTTCAAAACCATTCTTGCAGTACTGATAGTCTAGAAAAGTCTGCTCAATCTCAGCTTGTGTGTTCATCACAAATGGTCCATACTGAACAACTGGTTCATTAAGTGGCTGTCCTCCAATCAACACGAATCTTAACGGTTTGGAAGATGATTTGTTCCACACACTCAAACCGTCTCCAGGGCTCAACACCAACACGTGGTGAGCCATTACCGGAGAAGAGTTGAATGATCCAAACACCCCACCATCTTCACCTTCGATTATGTACACAAAAGCATTCCAAGATTCAGGGATGCTTTGGTGGAGCTGAGCTCCCGGTCTTAGAGTGAAATCGAGGTACATTGTGGGAGTTCTTGTGTAAACCGGAGACTCCACCCCCATAGCTTCTCCAGCTATTATCCTCACTTCAACCCCATCCTTTTTCGCCTTTGCTATGTCCTCGCTTAGCAATTCTTGATACCTCGGTTCAATCCTGCAGTTTTGGTTAAGGATTTTAAAAATTAGTAAAAAATAAAATTCAATTTTTTATTTTTTCATGTAATGGCTAATATATAACAAAACAGAACAGATTTTGGATTTTGGATTTTGAATTAATATGTATATGAATGACCTTGACTTCTGCAATCCAATGCCAAAATTTCTAAATAATAAGGAAAAATTAATTGTGAGTTTGACAAATTCTGCAGCATAAAATCTGTTTATGTTGCAACCAAAATTTCTCTAAATTTAGCACTTCTTGTGACCTTGACTTTTACAATCCAATGCCAAAATTTATAAATACTTTTGAACAATTTTTAATTGTGAGTTGTTCACTAAATCTATGGAATGAGGTCATACATAGTGTATAATTTAATTAGCTTATCATTATTTGCATAATAGAATTCATGAATAATTTGTGCATTATAGAATTGTGTTTATTATTTATCACTTGTAGATTTGGAGAAATTTGTTAATTTGGTTCTCCGAGTTTCGCCTCTAACAATGAAAAAACAAGAAAAGACAAGAGCTTAAATAAATAACATATCTTCTTACATTTTATCCTTTGAGGCTAGATTGATCCATAGTTGCAAACCCTTTTGAATTCCTTCTCCTGCAGGCATCTCTGAATGAATTATCCCTCTACCCGCTGTCATCCACTGCACAAATTTATTTTAAAAAAAATTTAAAACAAGGTGATGAATTGCTGAATTTGAAAACAACATGAAAAAGTAAACATTCATTCAAAAGAAATTTCGAAATCATTCAATGTCTTGTTGTACCTGCACATCACCGGTGTGGATTGTACCTCTATGCCCTGCAAAATCTTGATGAGTGAAAGCCCCCTAAAACAAAAAAACCCAATTCAGATCAGACTCCTAATGTATAACCTTCTCTTCAGAATCAAATTTTCATGTAGTTTTTGAAGTAAAATGGTGTACCTGTAACATATATGTGACAGTTTCGAAACCTGAAAAAACAGCATATGAAGAATTTAGGTTTAGAGAAAAAAGAAAATAATGTATGTGCATATAATAATAATCACAAAAACAACTTTTTTGAACAGATGGGGGAATGTAATGAAACCTCTGTGTGGGTGATCAGGAAATCCAGCAGGAGATGAAACTGCAAGATCAAGCAAGGACAGAGTTTTTCATAACAGATTTATGAAATAAAGAGTAAGGCCGTGTTTGGGCCTTGGATTTTGAGATGGAATTGTGGAGGAAAAATAAAAAAAGCAATTCACTCCCAAAATCCAAGATCCAAACACAGCTAAGAGAACTAAATTTACAGAATGACAACAAATTTTACCTGCGAATTCGTCCAACAAGAGAAATGGATCCAAAGACTTCAACTCAGGCCTGAAAAATCATACCCACCAAAAACAAAACAAACAAAAAAAAAATCAACACTTGAAGAGTTACGAAATTAAATCTCCAAAAGAACAAGAACCCTAATCAAATTGGAAATGAATCACTACACAGAACACAGAATGTCCTAAAAACATGTCTTCATGACTGAGAATTGAGAAAAGGCCACAAAAGTTTCTAACAAGATCATGACTACCCAAAATTCAAGAATTACAAAAAACAAGAACCCATGAATTGAAATGGAGAAATCACAAATAAAACCCAAGAAATTTTCAAATAAAATTAAAAAAACAAAAAAAGAAAAAGAAAAACAGAATTGTACCTTCCAATACTTCTCCTAACAACAGCACCATCACCCTCGCGTTGAGGCTTGGCTAAGACCTTCTTGACAGTCAATCTGGGTCTGTTAAAACATGAACTTTGATCTGATGCAGACATGATTTTTCTGATACAATTGGTGGTTGTTGTGGTTCTTGTTTGGGTTATTGGTGTATATGAATTGAATAGTAACCGTTGAGCTATTGCTATCATAAAAACTGTCACTTTGTTTTTGAGTCTTTTGTTTTCTCAAATTTTCTGTGTGTTTTAGCTTCCTCTTCTGTGTGTATTTATATAGATTATAGAGCATGTGGAGAGAGAAGAAGAAGTAGAAGAAGAAGAAGAAGAGAAGAAGAGAGTTGAGTTGGTTGGGACAAACAACTCATGAAGGCGTGGGGTGGGGAGAAAATATGGTGTAGTGGCCCACATTTCATCCTCAGACCAATCGTCTATATGATGTCAGCTTAATCTCACAATGATGGGAGCCTCTTAGCTTGGCCTTTCCACCACTTTTATTTTAATTTTTTTTAAGGGTTTGTTTAAAATGATTTAAATAATCATTTTTTAAAAAAAAAATTATTAAAAGAATATATATAGAAAAATAAAAAAGTGATGCAAATTAAATAAATATACGTATTTATATAAATTTATTTAGAAGATATCAAACAAGCTTTAAATCTACAAATCAAATTCATTTAAAAAAAAAAATCCCCTTATATTGCTAAAATAAGAAAATCACTCATCTCTTAATTTATTTAAATTATTTTTATGCTTAATTTATATAAGTTGCATCACACAATTTCGTTTGATTTCACAAATTACCAAGGAATAAGCAAAAAGGCTTATAGTACCATTCTTTGATTCTTGGGCAAATTATAAACACCCCCTCGAGATTTGGTGAAAATACAGATTTTCCTTGAAGTTTGAGAAATTACATCCCGTCTCCTGAGGTTTATATTTCCATAACAAATTGTCCCTTGAGGTTTTTATTTTCATACAGATTCTCCCCTAATTTGTTATGTAAATTTGACCTTCAGGGGATAATTTGTAATTTCTCAAACCTCTGAGAGGAATCTGTAATTTTACCAAACCTTGAGGGAGGTGTTTGTAATTTGCCCTTGATTCTTCAACTAAAGTGGTAGTTAATTTCTCAACTTTTTATTGGTTTTGAGCAAATAAATATTCATTATTTTTAGGACAAATTATATAAATAGTTCCTTCACTTTGACTTTTATATTAGTCCCTATAATTTTAATTGATTCAATTTTAATTTTAAGTTTTTACTTTGTATTTATTTGGTCTAATTGATTACATTAGTATTTTTTATTTTAAAAAAAAGTGTACATGAGCAACATATACTATGCTTGTAGGAGTAAATTTATAGATATGATCAACAATAAGTGTAATGATCATTTCTAACGACGTTATCAATTTGATCAAATTGACAAACAAATCTAAAAGAGTTTAGCTTCTCTTAAATTGTCATCTCAATTTAATAGGGCATTTCGGATTGGTAAACCTATTTTGAGATCGATTTCAGTGATTCGAACCATTCATTTTTAGGACTCATTGAGTAGAATATTCATACAAAAAATTAAAATAATTAGACATCATAAATTATATGTTTTAATCATATTTATTTTATAAAAATAAACGACAAATATAAATTTAATAACAACTATTTATTTTTTATAATAAAAATTTAATCTAAAAGTCAATTATTTGAATGATGAAAGTTGGTTTCAAAATGAATTTATCAAACACGCTCTCAGAGTATCTCCAATGGTGCATTAAATTTTTCATTAAATTTGAGTAAAAATTCTATTTGATATCAAGTGCTCCAATGGAGGTTTTTGAAACTTCATCAAAACACTGGTCAACCAGGCGAACGACTAGGCAGATGTCTAACCGGTCGACTGGCCAGTGTAAATTTTTCACAAATTTTTGCCTTGAGGTGGTCATCCGGGAGTCAACTGGAGGGTCGACCAGTCAGTGTAATTTTTTCATAATTTATTGTCTTAAGGTGGTCATCCGAAGGGATATCTAGTGGTGAAAATCAAATGACTATGAATAATCATTTGATGAAAGGCACATTGATCTTCAATTTGATGAAAGAAAAGTAAAATCATAAATTTAATACCTATTTGATAAAATCGTTAAAAAAGAAAAAAAAAAATCGTTTTTTATCAAACTCAAATTTAATGAAAAGTTTAAATAAGTAGATGGTCTCGCAAGTAAAAAGACTATCAGACAAATAGTAAAAGATAGGGTAAAAAGATATAATAAGCAGACAAATATAAACTTTTAATTATCGTAATGAAAGTTCAGATTATCGGATGATGTCAGCTTAATCTCACTATGATGGGAGCCTTGGGGCATTGGATTTTTCAGGTTTTGTTTTGTTTTGTTTTGTTTTTTTTTTTTTAAACGTCTTAAAAATATAAATATCAAAGTCAATTCAAAGATTCATCTAAAACTCTATTTTTCTATACATGAAGGCGGCAATTTAAAAGGATAGAGTTTTTTATTAAATTATTTTTTTTTGTAAAAACAAGTCGTTAGTGATGAAAGGATAATAATAAGTTATGACGATTGCCATATGTAAGTTATGCTGGCATCTCAATTTAAATGTTTTTTTGATTAGTTATTTATTTTTTAAAACATTTGATTAGAGGATTTTTTTTTTTTAATGGGGATTAGAGGTCCTGTTTCTTGCAACTTTTGGGAGTTTAATCTTGTTTATGGGATTTTTTGTTTGCGTATTATCATTTTACACCATTTTTTAAGTTTACAAAACTCCTTTATCATGTTTTTTTTAAACATTTGATTGAGAAATTTCTTTATTTTTATTGTACAAAATTTCATATTCAATATTATCTTATTTGATAGATTTTTATGAATAGATTCCAACAACATAAATTTTACAACAACAAAAAAAAAAATGTAGTATAAAAATTATGAAATTTTAAACTTGTGGGAGAATTAATTAATTAACCTCATGACATGTCACTTAGTGTTCGTAGGTGTACAAGTAATGTTTTTAACAAAATAAAAATATTATGATTATTGAGCGATACATGAAAATTATCGAATTGGTGACACTTTTATAGAACCAATGATATATAAGTTAGTGTCATGACTCCTAATCAAATTTTCATTATTCAATGTATGTCCCTAGTAGACAATAGCCAACTCTTTTCATTTTTTAAAATGTTACGTTTGAAATTTGAATTGAGCCGATAAAAATGTTATATTCACTTTATTAAATTATTTTTAAATATAAAAGGAGAAGTGTATGAAGACTCCAATTTGAGCATTTTTCACTTCCCTAATTCTAACTCTCTACAATTATGATTGCTATTATGATTTTTTTTTTTTTTTTTGAATAAAAACAAAAAAAACTTTCATTTGTGAGAAGATAAATATAAAATGTGCACATTCCTTGCTTTTATAATTATTGTGTAATCAAATAAGACAAATCCATTATTGGCTAACCAAACAAACAAAGAAGAGGAATATGTTCTCTCATTTTTCTTCTATCTTCTATCCTTTTAGTCACAGGTTACACTTTTTTTTTCACTTTACAGCTTGTTGTACCCAAACTTAGGAGTTGGGCCCAAGGCACGACTATCTTTACTGTGTGGGCCCATTTCAAAATATTATCACGATTCGAATCCTTCATCTGGTAAAATATACAAAATATATAGATTATTCTTATATAAAAATTTAGATTAATTGAATATTAACAATTACATTATCATATCACATTTACTTCTTAAAAAGTTAACAATAAATATGATTTCGTTAATAAACTTTTTAATTTTTTAAAACACATGTAATCTGATTACGTAGTTACTGATATTTAATTAATTGATATTTTACTTTAATAATTTGTTTGATGAATCTTACAAATTAAACAGCGGTGTCCATAAAGCTTGGAATGGACCCCACCTAAATGGGGAAGCAGGGTATCCCAATTTCCCCAAACATATCCTTATTTTCTTAAATCCCTTTGGCTTTAGTTAAATCCGATAAATCGTGGAATTTGGGTGCGTGTACTTTCAACAAACCCATAATGGGTGTAGAAAAGCAGATCTTGAATCTAAGTCCACCTAAAAATAAAAACAGTTCATTTCATTCATTAATTAAATTAAATTAAATTAACAATTTAAAGGCATCCATTTTCTAAACAAGGCACATAGAATATGTCAAAGTCAACTTCTACATGAATCCAATTAATTAATTAATCAAAATGTTAACATATCATTATCTCAGCATTTTTTGCACCATGAAAAAGATGGGTTTAAATTTTCTACTGAATTTAGATTTTCATCTGTTTGATTTAAACAAAAAAAATATATATGAGTCTTGGGTATGTGGAGACTAGGCTGCATAATTGGTTTAAAAAAAAAATTAAAAATTACAAATATGCATAAAAGCACAAAGCAACACCTATACATGTATTAAAATATAAACAACCAAGGCAACAAATATTAAAATATTAAAAAATATTGCATGATGCTAAACAACTAACCTTTTTAATGACATTAATTATTTTTAATGTTAAGAAAAAATATATTAATGTTTATTTGGAAGAAAACAATATTTAATTTTGAAACTTTCGATTGAAATCAAATAAAAGAAAGAAAAAAAAAATCTTTGGACACTAAAACCCTTATATCTAATCCGAACAATCAAACGGGATCAAGAATATTTTAAAAGTAATTTGAAACCACAAAGTAATTTCATTGAATTATTTTTATTACAATATGGCCATGTTTGTTTTGGCGGACTGGATTAGCATTCTCATGACTAATAGTTCTAGGATTACGAATTCATTGAATTTTGTATCATATCTTAACCAATAGTCAAGTTTAAAATAATTAGTCCGTACTTCAATTATTTAACCAAATATCGGATTAATAATTTTATTGGACTATTAGTCTAATCCCAAATTCATGTCCACCCAAACAAACATGGCCTATATGTAGTATTTAGGCTTCCTTTGGGTATTGGTTTTAAGCCATTTTTTGGGCTTAACTTAAAATTCATAAAAAAATAAATATAAAAATAAATCAAAGTTTAACTTAAAATGGGATTTTATAATGCAAGCATGTTTTTAGCATAAATTATGATTTCCAAAAGACTATTTGATTTTTTTAAAAAAAAATTATTTACCAAAAAAAAAAAAGCACACGGATATTTGACTTTTAAGCGTGGTTGCCAAATAAAGCCTTACGTTACAAGAAGTGATGTATGGATAAGGTCATAAAATGTTTGTTAAACTTGTACTTAATTGTAATTTTCTTTTATAATTTTGGGTAAACTCAATGCACTTTCTGAATGATGCTTTTACTATTATGGACTAGTCACAACATGCTATTGCTCTGTTTAGATCAGTTTAAAAAACTTATATTTACTATTCTTAAATTTAAAAGGATCTAAAAATAAATACAAAAAATTATACATTAAAAAATTCGTTAAAAAATAATTAAGACCAAAAAAATGACTTTTTTTTTTTGTCCTCAATGGATTATTTATTTATTTTATTTTTATTTTATTTTTCAAGTCCATCTAATTTAATAAAACTTAATCAGTGTTTTTAATTTATTGATTGCGTAGTATCATTTTATGATGACATGAGATTACAATTCAAATTCGAGAAATTTGATACATTTTGTATTGACTCATTTCTCTACTAACAACTAAATCCTATTGAAATATATGTTTGTGCCCAAAAATAAATAACAAAACCTAAAAGTTAAAGCTTTTAAGAAAAATCAAAATAAATTCTTTGTGAAAAAAAAATAAACAAATACAGAAACAAACAAACAAAAAATGCCTAAATAAGCAGTTGCGAAACTCGTGTGAACAAAATCATTTTCCTCACGTTTAATGGTTGCAACTTGCAGTCATACGAGCCTGCCAATGTGCGGCCGTCCTACATTTTGAATACATCATAGAAATAATCCAATAAATAATATGATTTTGGCCTGGTCAAATCAAATCTTCACAAATGCCATACTTCTTTTTCTTTTTTTTTTTTGACCAAAAAAAAATAAATAAAATTGTGGAGATATCATAGCATTTGTAGGTCCTAGTTTAAGGGTAACTAACTGTCGATCAAATTTAACCTAACCTAAAGGAAAGAACTCACCACCGAGGCAAGAAAAGAATGCATTAATCCCCAGTACAGAAAGCAGAGTCACGAGCAGAGTATAATGCTGTCAACTTCAACTGCTTAGCAAACGAGTCGCTAATCGTGTCCTCAAAAATCGAGCTCTACTCATCTATGTGAAAGGAAAACACATTTCCTTACCTCATTTTGTTCAAGTAAATTTTAATATCTTAATCAAGGGGCTAATTTATTTACCCAAAAAAATCTCCATCTTGGAGAATATAAATTTTAATCTCTCTAATTAGATGCGAATCTTTCTCTATAAACATTGATTTGTTGAGTTTGTTTGTCGTATGTACTGTTAAATTGTTCTTATATATTGATTGTTTTGAGTTTATTTTATAATTTTCCTATTGTATCATTAAAATTTTTTATATAATTGAATGTTGAATTCAATATAGCTCTTATAATATTGATAATTATCAACTAAAAAAACAAACTAACTAAATTGACGTGTTGCTGACCCCCATATTAGCCAAGCAAAAAAATAATAATAATTAAAAGGGGATTGCGTCAGCATAACATGTATGAGTGAGGTAGTTACGCACGTTTCAATTCTGATGTACAATCAGCTTGTTTGGTTTGTAAATTCATAATTCATTTTTTAAAATATTAAAAAAAATTATTTTTTAATTTTTATTGAATTTTTTTAATATTTGAAATAATTTTTTAAAATATTTTAAATACACCTAAAATAAATATACTTAAAAAGTATAATATTTGTGAAAAAAATCTTTAAAAAATTCACTAAATATCAAAATATAAAAATTCAGTACATTTTTCTTATTCTTGTGTATTTATTGATTTTTAAAATATTTTTTTACAAATATTTTATTTTTTAGATACATCTAAATAAGATGTATCTAAAAAAGTAAAAAAATTGCTTACAATTTTAAAAATATTCACTAAAAATAAAAAAAAAAATCGAAAAACAAAAAAAAAATCAGTTTTAGAAAATTGAATTCAGAAAATTTTAAAAAATCCAAAATAAAATAATATAGGGATAACTATAATTTACCTTTAAAAAATACAGATTCCCTATTGTTCAAAAGTAAAACAAAATCCCATATAAACAATTAGTTTATAATTTGGACTACAATTGTAGAACGAACAAAAACTCTTTAAATTGTACATGTGTTAGAGGTTGTAATTGGGCGAGTTTGGACCGATCAAAACAAATTTTACATTCAAAATAGCACAACCTAAAATCACCTATTTAATATTTTAAATTGGCTTGGGTTGAATTGAATATGGTTTAGATAAATAAATCTGATTAATCTGTTTATTTTTAAGAATTTTTTAATAAATAATGAAAGTAAAGGTGGTAGCAGCAATAGTGACAGTAATAGTCGTGGAGAGATGGAGAAATGGTGGTAGTAGTTGTGGGATGATGGTGGAGGAAGGGTAGTGGATATTAATTAAACTCAATTTTTATTAATTTTAGAAGATGCAACTCATTTAAATTCACTTATGAATATGATTGAATTCAAATGGAATTTAAATGAATTTAATAGAACATTTGGATGATGGATGAGATATGGGATAATTTGACCAAAGATTTTAATATTCATTTACATTTATACTATGTATACATATAAAAAATGCTAGAAATTTTAAAAAAATTATCAAAATTTTTACTAAATGTCTCACATAGGTGTGAGACCTATACTATCAGATTCCATACTCATATAAAATATTTAATAAAAATTTTAAAATTTCTAATATTACTCGTATACGTACTATACATGAACCATTTGTTCAGGTGAGTGGTAACTAGTTGATGTGATTTTAAGTGGGAGACAATCGTTAACAAAATTGCTTATGTAGGAGACAATTGCATAGCGGAATACCAAGAAAAGTTAATGGAGTACTCCGATGGTGCAATCTATCTAAAGGGAGATTTTTTATTGCTTTCCATATAGACTACAGGACCATCACTCTTCAATCCAATGTCCATGATGATCGGTTGGTGGTCAAACTCTTCATCATGATCATACAAAAATTTTGATTTAAACATATTAGAAAATCTCACTTATTTTATTTATTTTTCATATGATATGAGTCTTACTTTCTTATGAGTTCTATACACTTATGTAAAAAAATTATATTAAATTATGTAATTGATGAGTTTTGTGTGAGTAAAAGAATTCAATGTGACAAAAAGAAAAGAATGACTCGAGTATCAAAACTTGAAATAATCAAAAAAAACTGTGTATTTATTTATTATTTTTATCACTGTTGCGTTGTCAGTATAATAGCAATAAGAATCGAGTCCAGATCGTCTACCGTGCTTTCCTGCAGCGCTTCCTGCAGTGCTCACAAAAACGACGTCGTTTTGTTTAGTGTATCCCCCCCTCTGAAGTTGCCTTCATTTTACATACAAAACACATCTTTTTCTCTCTCTCTCTCTCTCTCTCTCTCTCTCTCTCTCTCTCTCATCTGACTTCACGGCTGCCCTCAAATCCTTACTTTCCTCCTCCTATCTGTAATCAATCAACCCATCTCTCTCTTCTTGTTTTGTTGTTGGTCTGGTGAGGTACAGCCGGTGTTGTTGGTCTTTTTTTTTTTTTTTTTTTTTGTGGGTTTGATTTCTTTATATGGTACTTTTGATTGTTTGCTCTGCTTGTTGATTCATTATTTACACCTGAATTTTTTTGGGGGGTTTTCTTAATTCATATCTAACAAGCAAAATCTATTCATTTCCCTATTTTTTATTCTTTATTTTCATAAAGAAATTATGATTTAACTTTGTGTGTGTTTGTGTTCTGGGAAAATTGAAGGACTGTTCTAGTCAAAGTTGACATCTAAATTCAATAATTTTTTGGTTGATCTGAGCAATTTGTGATTTCTGATTCTGAGCAATTTGTGATGTTGTGATTTTTGGTTATGATTTTTTTTTTAATATTATATATATATATATATTATTAGATTTATACAAAACTCAATGTTTCAAAAAGTCCTCAGATTCCATAAGCATGTCAAAAAATGGTTATTAACTTTTTAACATGTATAGTTTTGGTTGCAAAATGGTCTAAATATTGTTTTGTTTGTCTGTGTATCAGATTCGAGGTCCATGGTTAACTTTGAAGATGTTAATGGGGGAAAAGAACGGACCGACCGTTCTTCCACTTGTTCGATTAAGAAGACGGTGTAGTAGATGATGAATTAGATGAATACTTTCATCAACCCGAAAAGAAGAGGTGATTCCGTTTGTGGTCTCTGTTCGTCTCTCTGAGAGGGGTTAGGTTCAAAAACGAAAGAGAGGCTGAAAAGCAAAAGAAGACGAGAGAAGAAGGAAGAAAAAAAAAAGGGTCCAAAATAGCTTGAAATTATCTAAAAACTCTGTGTTTATTTATTTATTATTTTTATCACTGTTACGTTGTCAGTATAATAGCAATAAGAATCTAAAAAAGTACATGAAAATGCAAAAGTATGTAAACCCAAATTAAAAAACTCTAGGACCATATTTTAAAGTAGGATTTAAACTCACATAGAGTTATAGTAGTAGATATTGCTAATTTTACATTTTTTTTTTCATTTTTTTTTTTACTCAAAAAAGTGTTTGGAATTTCATTCTGATTAATTTTAAAATAAATGTAATTTTTTATCCTACATATACTAAGGCCAAGTTTGGCAACTCTAGAATAATTCATTTTTTTATCTTTTTATCTTTTTTCATCACATCACTTCTCTACTTTTCTGCACATCTTTTCGTAAAAAGATAAAAGTACACTTATTTAGGTCATCCCAAACAACTCCTAAATAAGAAATATTAAACCTAAGCCCTGGGGTGGATTTAAGTTTTTTTTTTTTTTTTTTTTTTAATTTTGGTCGATTTTTTTTTTTTATAATTTTTTTTCTTGGCATACTAAAAGTGGGTTGTGTTTATTAGAACCTAGTATAGTTGATACCTGGCTGATTTCACCAACTACTAAACAGCACATTGGGCTGTTCACTTGTTGGGCTCTGTTGGATGGGCTTGAGCATGAATTGTAAAGGGCCACGTCTTTTTTTTCTCTAGTTCATTGGGTTCATCTTTTAATGAAATTTGGATTGTAATAGAGATTGGAAAACAAGCATCACAATGACATCCATTTGAAAGGAGATGAGGAAGAGAAGGCCAACTCAAAAATTTAAATTTTAAATTTTGAATTTTTATTATACTTAATATGAATTTACTAATAAAGACATTACATATAAAATATTAAAATAAAATATTATTTTTTTCTCATTGTATACCCTAATCAATTATATGTCTTCTTATTCAAATTTCTTCATTTTTTCTCTAAATTTCAATTATTTTCTTTTCTTTTCTTTTTTTTTCACTCCAAAATTTCAATTCACTCCACCCAAACACACCATTATTTTTTATCCTTCTTAAAATAAAATAAAAATAATAAAAAAATTGTTACATTTGAAAAGTTGTTAAAAATTTGTTTTTTTCTAAGTAAAAAAATTTGAGTGGCCTTTCTATTGTGGCTTATTTAGCCAAATAAGCAAAAAGAGATTGGGAAGTGGGTTGGCTTTTTGACTTTTTGATTTTTTTTGTTATTTTAGCCTGGGCTAAAAGGCTTGGTTTGAGAAGAGTTTTTTGACTTTTTGGTTTTTTTGACTTTTTTTGTGAGAGAAGAGTGTAATGATTACGAGTTAGATGTGATGTTTTGTTTTTTGTGGCTAAAATAGCCTATTTTGTCTTTTGTGGCTAAAATAGCCAAAAAAGCTCAAAACCTAAGTTGCCAAACGAGGCTAAGTAAGAATAATTTAAAATAATTATATATATATATATATATTTAAATTGGAAGTTTAGTTTATGAGCGAGCTACCAGACACAAGCTTACTTACATCTTTCTAAAAATATAATTATTTTAAGTTATTTTTATTTAAATTTACTGTCCCTATTTATGTTAGATACAAGATAATATGCCCAAAAATTATTATATAATGGTCAAAATTATAAATCAAATATATTGAACTATAATTTCCAATTATAACTCACCAAGTGTCTTATTGAACTTTTAAAATTATGATACAATGCAGTCAAATGGTAATGTTAAATTGTAACGAGTACATTTTATCGTAAATTTGCACACATTTCACTATAACAAAAAGGAGTGTTTATTAAGAGGCGTGCGCAATAAAATTTGCCCTTAACAAGTTGTGAAAATTATTTTAAATGCTACAACTAATTAGCTCGTATAACCCATCTTTAGATTTTTCCTTTAAATTTTTTTATCACAAGAAATAGGAAAGTTTTAACCCCCCCCCAAAAAAAAATACAAGGTTCAAACTTTAATGCAAATTATTAAAAAAAAAATGGTATTTACACTCTTCTTTTAGAGCATCTTCAATGGACTAACTAAAAATATATATGTTAAAAATGTACATGTAATCAAAAGTGAAACTCATTTTTATATATAGATTTATTTACGTATTAGCGAATTTAACATTATTCGCTCATTTTTTCTTTCACTTTAAAATAAATTTTTAAAAAAATCAATCCAACTCGATGAGCTAAAGAAGTCACATAGTTAACAAAAAGTCACTTCCCAGCTTAAGAAATAAGTTAAAAGTCACTTCTTAACTTTTAACTCATTTTCATCTCTCACAAAACTCATCTTTGATCACTCTCTCTCTCATATTTTATATATATATATATATATATATATATTTGGTTAAATAAAAAAACAATTTTTAACCACATTTCCAAAACAATCCAAAAAAAGGAAGGGCTAGCGAGACTCCTTACCCACACGTCTTTTCCCTATTCCATAATAAGGCCATCGCGTGACATTGGGCTAGACAAGCCCACACCGTATAATAACCAAAAAAAATGTCGTAGCTCAAGTACCGGCCTAGCCCATAACTTTGTTCTTATTAATATTTTGAATTAATTACACAAAGACTCCGACTATTGGCGAATATTATATTCCCTTCTCATTTATCAATTTGTACTTTTCACCTTTTTAATTATAAAAATATAACACTTTTATCCTTCCAGACCACCTTAAGAATAAGAATATTTGAGGGAGTTTTGATGCAATTAACCTATAATTCTTTGGGATAGTGTTGTATAAACAAAAGAGTCTCACAACTTTAATATAATTATATTGGACTCTTTTAGATTTATATTCAAATAACACTTAATCTCATTTTCATTAATAATTTGATATTTATATAAATAAAAAATGTTGTCATTATCTTTTTTACACTATAGACGTGTTTGATTCGCCGGATTAGGGGAGGACAATCCACTGTTTGGATTGCAATCCATCAAAAGCTCATTATCCGCCGTTTGTTTTTTTTTTAGTCCGCCAAACATAGAGTCCGGCTGAACTCTTTATCCCTCATATGGAGGATTCCACTGTCCGGGAGGGATGTATGGGACAATTTTGATAGGATTATTGACTATTAGGATTAGGGGGTGAGATGACTATTTTGCCCTTATAATATATAATTTGCTTTCTCTGTAATTGTTGGCACAGATCATTATATGAGAAGAAGCAAAACGGCAAAACCCTAAAGGCGATTCTTCTGTTTGAGGCTCAATTTCATCAAATCATTTGATCTCCCATCTACACTCGGGTTTGAAACACTTTCTACATCTTTTATTTTGTTTGCTATTTATTTTTTATATCAATTTGGGTCGTTGTTGTGGCTGATTTGGTTTAGATTTTATTTTCTCTCTGTGGTTATTTTTTTGTTTCTTTCAAGTTTTTTGTTTCTCTTCATCAAACCAAATTTGAGGGATTTTGCAGAGCTCGCTTTTTTTTTCTCTTTCTTCAATATGAGAGATTTTGTTTATGTTGTGCCTATTTTGGTGGGTTCTAGGTCTGGTGGGTTCTGGGTCTGTATTTGTTGTTGTTGTTGTTGTTTTTTTTTTTTTTTTGAGCCTTGAAAAAACAACAGTAGCTCGTTGTTTGTTGTTAATGGTTGTTATATATGCATGCATTGACTCGCAAGTCTATATTTTCTTCTGTGTTTTCTTGTAATCTTTTTGTTGCCTTGCCATTATTGGAAGTTGGAACTTATTTAACAAAAAACAAAGCATGTGAAGAACTGTGTTTTGTTGTAATCTTTTTGTTGCCTTGTCCTTATTGGAAGTTGAAACTTATTTAACAAAAAATAGAGCATGTGAAGGACTGATATAGTGCAGCCCCATGGCTCCTCCTTAACCCATTTTGATAATTTAATCTATTAAATATATATATATATATATTTTATATAAAATAAGTTAAATTAATCTTATAATTACAACCATTAATAAAGATAAATGACAAGTATGATAATAAAATATGCTATTTATTTTTTTTAACATAGTTATGGTGAAATTAAATTGACTAGATTATTAATTGATTTAAGAAAAAAAAAAATTAATGTGGAACATTCTATCTTAAGGAAGAATGTTTGATCATGTTCAATTGTAATGAATCTATATATTGTAAAAGAGAAACTGAGAGGTCTCCACTTTTACATTAATTAAAGTTATGGAATGGTTTCTGTTTGTTTATTGGAAGTTAAAGAACCTAAGGGAAAATGCCTATTATTTAGAACAACAATTGAATGTTGCAAAATCATGGTCAATCTTACACATGTTTACTGTGTTCCTTGTGCTCTTCTAGTTCGGGTTTGTTTAAGCCAAGCATGCATTGCTTAAGCTCTGCTCAATTATTAAACAAGGTCTAAAAATTTAATTCAGGTTCTCCATTCAACAAATAAACTAAGCTTAAACAAATTTTAAACAAATCAAGCTCGAGTTGCATTGATCTTTCTATATTGAAATGAAGTTATCTCAGTGAAAAGTAGATCATGAGAAACGTCCATCACATAGATAGCTGACAGAAATGACCAAAAGATTTGAAGGACGATGAAAAATGGTAGGAATAAAACAGAAAACATTAATGTTCCGCATTAATACACCTATTTGCAAATTCTTATATGTTATCTATATGCCTAGAGATGCTCCATTCTTTAAATTATTTGTAATTCTAAATGGTTTTTGTATGATAATTTATTTTGATAGATGGATGAGGATATCAATGACTTTGACGATGAGAGTAATGACGAGCTTCAATTGTACGCAGTACTGTAAGTTGTAATTCAATAGCTATTTGCCTTATGCACTGTAGCTTCTGTTGTCATTCAAGTTATCTTGAAGAAGTATTTATCTAAGTATCCACGTAATCTTATTAGAGGACCCAATTGGTTGCAAGAACAAATTGACCATATTAACCGTTTAGTGAGAGAAAGTGACATAACATGTATTGAACAACTCCGTATGGATTGTCATTCTTTTATGACTTTGTGCTATATGATTCATACAATTGGTGGATTAGGACCTTCAAAACATATCACTTTAGAAGAGAAGGTGGCCTTCTTCCTCTTCATTTTGGCATAACACTTGAAAATACGAAATGTTAAGTTCAATTTCTATAGATCTAGACAGACTGTCAATCGATATGTCAATGATGTTTTAAAGGTTGTGCTACGTCTGCAAGCCAACTTACTTAGCACACCAAATCCTATTACCGAAGCAAACACAGATCCACGGTGGAATTGCTTCCAGGTAAATATATTGTCCACAAATTTGGTAAATATATTGCCAGCATTAGTGTCTATTGGTGTCCATTGTTAATGAAGGAATGAAAGTTGATAATGCTTTCAAGGCGAGCTATCTTGCGAGACTGGAAACTAAATTGGCGGATATCTTACCTAGGACAGACTTACGTGGTTGTCCCCATATTGAATCAAAAATTAAAATATGGAAGAAGCACTATAATTCTGTGTCCAGTATGCTTGTTACTAGTGGATTTGGATGAAATGACACCGAAAAAAGAATTGATGTGGAGAGTGATAGTATATGTGAGGCATATGTTCGGGTAAAGTTACCATGATGTAGATATTTTTTTTTTTAATTACTACATGTTTGTGTAACTATTTTTGAATTCCTATATTAACTGGGATTAGTTGGTCATTGCAGAGGGACACCGATGCAAAACATTTGAGGAACAAAACTTTCCTATATTTCGATGAATGGATTCAAATATTTGGCAAGGACCGAGCTACATAGGAGTTTGCTGAAAGGCCTGCTAATGTAGTTAAGGCTATGAATGCTGAGGAAGATGTGTTGTTGCATGGCCTTGCAGATAATGACACTTTTCTTGAACAAATGGAAGTAAATAGTCACATTGGTGAAGGAATGGATTGTTTAAACTCAGCAACTCAGCGGGCTTGTGAGAGCTCTGCCAAAAGAAAAGACAATAAAAGATCTAGATCTGATGATGATGTAGTTGAAGAGCTGTCTATATTTGCTGACAAGTTAGTGGATGTCATGGGTAAACCCAGTGAGAAGCTGGAATTCATTGGAAAACTGATGGGGTATTCACATGATGTTACATCAAAATGAACATCATTAAATGATGAACTTACAAAGTTGCCAATTACCATAGATGAAGGGTTAGATGCTTGCGAAATCATATCCCATGATGTCCAAAAGCTTGACATGTTCTTTAGCTTGACACATGATGATAGGCTGAGGTGGGTAATGCCGTTGCTAAGTAAGAATGCTCCATAACAAACTTGTGGCATGTGATGAGAATATTTGGTTTTTGGGTTATGCTCCATAGACTTAATTGTTGCTTTTTCTATTCGTCAAGCACCGTATTTTGTGGGTTAAATTGTTATATCATGATTTGGTGCCTTTGACTCATCTAATCATGGGATACTGTTGCTTTTGTTGTTGAAGGCTGCTAGTTGTAGGAACAAATATTTGTACCTACTGACATGCTTATGAGCATATACCACTTTCATGTTGGTTGTTTTTTTATTTTGGTTGTTGTACATAGTTATTTGGATGATTGTTAATTGGTGTGTTGTGTGGATTTGCTAGTGTCAATATGAAGTGCTGGTGTGCTGTGTGTTGTTGCTGGTGTGTTGCATGATGCTTCTGGTGTGTTGTTGGTGTGATGGAATAAATAATTTTTTTGTGTTGGATAAAAATTAGAAGGGATATGCTGCTGGTGTGATGCTGCTAGAACAAACCATTTTTTTGTATTAGATAAAAATTAGAAAGGGTATGCTGCTGGTGTGATGCTCTAGAACAAATCATTTTTTTGTGTTGGATAAAAATTAGAAGGGACATGGTCTTATTTATATTGGAAAAATGTGACCATTAAAAAATATAAATATTGGAAAAATGTATGTTTCAAACATTGAAAAAATTAATTAATTAATTGTGGTCCACTAATCAATTATAAATAAAGATTAAATTTAAAGACAGATTTAATATTGCTATTATTTAGTAAACAATTGAAGAAGGGTAAAATAGTCTTTTGCTCATTTATCCTTATCCAGTCTGTCCAACCAAACATTAGATTCACTAAAAATAGTCATTTCTAGACATCTAATCCCATGAGAAAACAAACACGGAATATACATCAAATCCAACCAAATAGTCCGGTGGATTCATAGTCATAGGATTCAAGTCTGATGGATTCTAATCCCCCTTATCCGGTCCGTTCAGTCAAACACACCTTATCTATATTAGTTTTGATCCCTTTAAACTTACTTAGAAATAGATCAATTTAATTATTTCAAAATTATGAAATTTATAGTGCAATTTATCTACAAAATTAATATAAAATAATATGGCAAATTCTAATTTTATTATTTTAAAATAAAAGGTTCACCTATTTTTAACAAGGAAAATTTATTTATAAATCTTATCTTAAGGAATGGTAATCCATTTAGTCCCAATAATTTTCTTACAGACCAATTAGTCCCATTGATTCTAAAAGGGTATATTTAATATGCTATTTAAAAATTAGATTTACGGTTATACACTTCTTTGCATTATGTTTCTTTCTCTTTTTTTCTTTTATGCTAGAAAGGTAAGGTACACAATGTATGAGAATCAAACTTGAGTTGAATTTTTATATGAGAATCTTTTTTTATTTGAAAAAACATTCCAAAATGAGTACAAAAATGGCTTGAAATATGAGATTTTTAAATAGCCCAAAAGGATGTGGAATTTGTTAAATATTTCAAAATAGTATAAAAACTCCTTAGTAAGCCTTAGGCAAATATATAATTTTAAACTGTAATACTCCAATGTAATACTCAAACATAACACGTCAAAAAAATCCTTAGTGCATTTTTCTAAACTTAATATTCTAATATAACACTCGAAAAAGTTTTTTATTGCAACACTCTAATGTAACACACACAAAAAAATCTTAGTGTACTTTTTCCAAACATAACACTCCAATATGACACTACTCCTTGGTGTAACACTCTAATTTAACACACAAAAAATATGTGAAATTCTTTAAATCATTCTAAAAGAATGTGAGATTTTTCAAACTATTCCAAAAGGAATACAAAAATTCCTTAGTAAGTTTTGGACAAATATATAATTTCCAATGTAATACTCAAAAAAAAAGATGTGTGATTCTTCAAACCATTTCGAAAGAACGTGGGATTCTTCAATCCATTTCAAAACGTATTCCAATGTAACACTGCAAAATGATGTGTGATTCTTTAAATCATTCTAAAAGAATATGATATTCTTCAAACTATTCAAAAAGAAGTATAAAAATTCCCTAGTAAGTTTTGGGCAAATATATAATTTCAAACTGTTAGTGTTACGTTTGGGAAAAAAAATACATTCATGAGTTTTTTAGTGTTTTTTGTTTGTTATATCAGAGTGTGTTATGTTGGAATATTATGTTTGGAATTATATTGATTGGAGTGTTACATTTGGAAAAAATATACTATGTTGTGTTTGGTTGAGTGATTTGGAAAGGGAAATGGAAAAGGTATGTGAAATGTGAAAAAATATACTTATATTTCACATAGTTGCACACACTTTTTTCCTTTTCCTTTCCAAATCCCTCCCAAATCTCCCAACCAGACACATCGTAAGGAATTTTTTTGTGTTATATTAGAGTTTTACGTTTGGAAAAAATATACTAGAGGATGTATTGCATTGGAGTGTTACGTTTTTTTTCGTAATGTAGAATTTGTTCCAAAATAAGGAAAAATTCAAAACTTATATAATGAGGATTGCTCAAATATGTAGTTTTACATGTGAATAAATCCAAATTTATTCCTAAAAAATTAAATCCGAATGAAAGTGACCACTTTTTTTGTGTAATTTAAATTTTAATGAAACTTGTGAATTTATAAAAAAAAAAAAAACTAAACAATTTATAAATTACATTTTAAAATTTATTGGTATTTCATATTTTTTAACAATGCTATATTACTATATTAGCATGTATCATTTTTTAATTTTTATTTATGTGCCTTGGAGTATTCTTCCTTGTCCCGACTCGACCCGACCCATAAATTAACTTGTGGGGGGTTTGCAGGCTAACAGAGCAAGGACGAGAGAGAGAGAGATGGGCAGCGGGAAGCAAGAGAAGCGTTCAAAAAGCAGCCTCCCAAACAAAAACCCTAAACGAAAGCGTCTACCTCTCGGCCCCAATAGACCCCAGAAGAAGAAGAAGAAGACCAAAACCACGTCCCACAAGAAGAAGAACAACAATGAAACCAAAAACAACAATCACAGCGTCGTTACGGCGGCGGCTACATCGGCTGAGCAGCTGAGTTTCTTCGTGGGTCAATATCAATCAGCCAATGCCATTCAACTCTCTTCCCTCGAGCTCGAATCTATCACTGGTGGTTTTTTATTTCTCTCTTTTATCAAATTGTTTGCTTCATAATTTGGGTTCTCTCTCTCTCTCTCTCTCTCTCTCTCTATACATTTGTTATGATTGTTTTAATATGATACAAGGGGGGTGTCAAGTAATATTTTTTTTAAATTTTTATGTCCTATATTTGATTTATTGAAAGTTTACTGACTGTGATGAGAGGCATTGGAAAAGGATTGGTTGTGAAATGAAAGAGTTTTTGGCTAAAATTAAAGAAATTGACTTGAATTTAAGTGAAAGATAAAAATAAAAATAAATTGGGTAGAAGACTAGGATTTTAATGACTTTAGGATAAGTGTATGAGTCCACCATTTTGAATATTAGTACTTGAGCTGATATTGGAAGAGTGATTCAGAGGATTTGGTAAAAATTTTCAATTCAATTTCAACTGTACTTTCCTAATTGGGTGCAAAAATGCATGTGTGTGTTAGTAATTAAAGGATGCAATCAGATGGCATGGTATTGTTAGCCAAGTTGAAATTCTTATAAATTATCTATAAAATGAGATGCCAACTAGGGCATGTCTGATTGCTGGTTTTGCTTAAGAAAACATATAAGCTCTCACATATTTGGCTTTGCTTTGCCAGTCCAATACTGACTCTTGGTACATGGTGCCTTTGGTGGAAGTTAATCAATAAGCTTTACCATACGCACACTTATTACAGTTATGCCCTCGCGCAGAGGGTCCGAATAAATAGTACAGTCCAAATAATACAGTCCAAATAGTACAGTCCAAATATTTACAAATTCCTAATTAATTTACAAATTAACTAAGAAAGCTACAAACTGGCATGCAAGCCAGGGACTGCCTTGCTTCTGATGAATGATGTACGTTTAGGCTGCCTTGAGCGAAAATCCACTGGGATGCCCCAATTAGCCTCTGTTTGCACATGTTCTTGAAATGCGTGCCAAGCTCTGAAAAGACCGTTGATTCTTGATTTGCTGCAACAGAGAGCAAGGGGCATAGCAATGTATTTTCACAGATGTATGCATGCTTCGATCCTCGTACCACCAATCACGCATATCGAGGCATGATGGCTGAGGAGTCGAACTGCACAATTTAATATGAAATGAATGCACATGAAAACACAACAAGACCTAACTCTATCATGGGTGATCTGGAGTGTCGGTGACTAGGGAATTGAGACACGTTCCGTCACTTAGAGTACGAAACGCACTTCGTTTCCCGTGTCCGGGCTAACTCCTATCCCGAACACGATACAATATGCATGACATGCATGAATGCAACTAAGATACAATCCTAACATACACAATGCTATGAAAATGAGATGCCTCGAAATACGTGCACACGGGCACACAAACCGAGAAAATGACATACGCAATGCAAATGGCATGAAACTATGATATGGGCTTATACCAACATGAGAGAGCCTCAGCCACACTCACATAGGATGCCGGTGAATGAAATGGAAGTGCCTCGAAATGCATGCACACGGGCACGCAACCGAGGCAATGACATACGCAATGCAAATGACATGAAAATATGATATGGGCTTATACAACCATGAGAGAGCCTCAGCCACACTTACATAGGATGCCGGTGAATGAAATGGAAGTGCCTCGAAATGCGTGCACACGGGCACGCAAACCGAGGAAAT